TGAACTTTGAGGATTAAGGTAATATGTAATAAATTATATTGTATAAAACGCATGTATCGTAATGAAAAATGTAAGAAAATAAATTTTCCAGTTGTTGAAGAAGTCCCAATAAAGGGACGAAACGTCCAACTCAATCAATCTAAAGTTCTACTTCTTTTAATGTCCAAGTTCCCTGTGAAAAAATTTTATCATTAAAATATTTAATATTTGCAAAGAGAATTCTAAAAATAGTTTCAACATACTTTCATAAAATAAAGTTTACAAGAATACATAACCTATAAATGACAATCTATAACTGATCAATATTTAAAAAATTTGTGTATGGTATCAATTTGTATAAATATTTAAAGACTAAAATTATTCAATTAGAATTGAAACTTTGCTTGTAACATTTCCATGCATATATTTTAATCGTTAAACTTATATCTGTATTATACTTATAAATAAACGAAATATAAATCTTCTTGCAAAAACGAAAAGTAACATCAATCCCAGGTATCATCCGAGGTTAACTGTATGGTACTGTCTACATCACATAAATAAGATATTGTATCTTGATGTGGATAACGCGGATGCCACCAATCGAAAACTTCATAATCAATTACATCATTAAGTATAACTTGATTAGTTAATGCATTTGGAAGATCTGATGTTCCAAATCCAAGCTGCAATCGCAGGTATTTAAGACCAGGCATCAAAGTTACTGATACTTTCTGTAGAATTAATCCAATTACCAAAGGCAATTTGCTATATTTTAGACATCTTACCTGCAATTTAATGTCAAATTAATATTTGACATTAGATGCAAACTTTGAATAAATTTAGTGTGTGCATTTAATGAAAAAGTTTCACATACCTGTAAAAGTTTACATTTTTCTTCGGAATTTGCATTTATCTTTTCTGCTGTGTCAATATCATCATCCATGCTTTTGTTTTGTTGTATTAAAGTACCATTACATGTTCCCGATATTTCTTTTAATTTAAAAAAGAAATACCACCGATTAGTTCCTTTCTAGAACAATTAAATAATGATTATGCTTTTCTATTTTTCCTTATCATATTCTTTTACTATTCCTAATAAGCTATATAGAAGTCAAATATACAGGGCGATTCACTAACTCTTGCAATCAAGATAGCTCCGAAAGTATGATAGCAGCAGAATAGTTTATACAATAAAAGTTTCATGAAAAATTCGGGAGTATAATATGACGTCAGTTTTTTTTTTTACTAGGTTTAGTCGCTTCTGAAATTTAAAGTTAATAATGTTTTGGTACTTATTTTCTGATATCAGCTGTCATGGCGAATCCAACGATGTGGAACATTAAGGTATTTGAAGGTCAAAAAAGGTCAAGTCTGGCGAACCAACCAGCCACGACACAGCTCCTCCGCGTCATTGTTGCATCATCCTTTAGGTGTCCGGCAAAGGACAGAACAGTCGGACATAATCAGGTTTGATGAATTCCTTCATATTTAATAAATATTTACTATATTTAATGTTGCACATCGTTGGATTCACAGCGACAGCCGTTATCAAAAAATAAGTATCAAAACATAGAATTCCATTTAAAAAAACAAACTTGATTCTTAAATCTCGAAAACGATTAAACCTAGCAAAAAAAAACTGACGTCATATTTTACTCCCTACTTTTTCATGAAACTTTTGTTCTATAAACTTTTCTGCTGCTATCATACTTTCAGAGCTATTTTGGTGACAAGAGTTAGTGAATCACCCTGTATATTTTTATATGTAATTTTGTAAAAAAATAAATAGATAGTATGTAAAATAATTGAGATATGAAAATATCATACTTCGTGCCACATGAGAGAACATTGCCTTTTAACAAGAGAATGTGGTTCCTTTTGCTGTATCCGTGATATATAGCTCAATGCTCTTCTCTCAGCAAAGTAAGTATAATGCAGTGTTCTGATAACGCAAAGACGCAATTCATGGCGTAGTATCATCCAATGTGGCTGCAAACGTTCTGGGATACCAGGAACAAACTTGTAATAACTGTGATAATAATCATTATGAGAACATAGTATTCTAAAAATCGAATTTATATTTAGACGTACGTCTTATATAGATGAAACCAAAATTTTGCAGTCGTAGTCACATAATAGGAAGATTTACAAATACAAGCAAATTTTCCTACAGTTTCTGGTTTAATATATTCTGATATTATAAACCATATGTCCAATGGATAATCAATACCTACAAAAGAAAAATACTTTAATCCATGAGTTTGCTATAAATAGGAATACATAATCATGATTATGGAAAGTAATATTCGATCACATCAAATATCTCTGAAATCTTCTATTTAGTATAATACAAGGCTTTTTAACCTTTTTCGCTGAACGACCTTTGTAATCCGAACAATTGTTTCTTTTTACGACCCTGAATACATAAGTACACAAATTAAAATATTTGCTGATAATAAATCATAAAGAAACTTTATTTTAAAACATTTTGATATATATAGGATGAATCAGAATTAACCAGACACCTAAATATCTTTGTTAGATTTAAAGTTACGAAATATGTCTACATCAGAATCAAAATTGTTTTGAATGTCATTTTTTTAGGTGTTTTTTAGATTACTAATGTTTTTTTAAATGGAATTGCACTTTTTTCCTATATGTTATTATAGCCGTCACTTAGATGAATTTAACAATGTGCAATATGACCTTCAAACGACTTTCAATCCAGTAATATAGAATAAATAAATGTCAGCATGTAAGGATTATTAGCTTTATTTATGTTATGCAAAATGTTCAAAATAATTCTATTTAGTTGTGATACGCTTACTTAATCTCAAAGAATAAGAATCTAATGCTCTGTGATTCATTTCAGAGGGAATCGACGCGCAAACCCTCATGATTCTTTCTTTCATATCCTCTGTAGTGGTAGGTTCTTTGAAATAAACTTTATTTTATAGGTATTCTCATAGATAAAAATCTAAAATTGATTGGTGGACAAATATTTTCTACACTTACTATACATACGAATATAATTTTTGCCATGTATTAAAGACAAAACCAAATATTTATACTCATTTATTAGTTTTGATAAAATTTTAACGATTCGATACGGGATCGTAACCAACACTATGAAAAACCTTGATATAATATATATACTAAAATACTTGCCATTACGTTCAGTAATTTCTTCATTTGATATTTTCTTCTGATTTCTCAATTGTTTCTTAGGTAATAAATCTAATAAAATAGAAAGTTCGACAAGGTTATTGCAATGAGTATGTTTCTAAACTATAAATATAGTTACACAATTCATAAATATGTCTAAAGCCGTAATAATACGTTTAAACATAAAAGTCTTGTTATTTTTTAATAACATTTATAATACTTCACCTTTGACAAGAGTTTTGTGTTGAGTTTGGCTCATTTTGTCAAACTGATATTCCAATTGTAAGAAAGAACTGAGTAATTGTCAGGATTGCACTTGAAAGTAGCAATATTTATTAATGTCTCGTCTTTTTATTATATTTATAATAAAGAATAAATCAAATAAATATAGATTTTATTATATCTTATTTAAGAGAAATTATTTAAGAGAATTTATTACACTTATTATAGATCGTTTCATGTATTAAAATTTAACGTCTAAGTAAATTTTAGTTTAAAAAGTTAATTTAAAAAAATGTTATTTACTACTTTTCAATAAACTTGTGCTGATTAAACTGACAAAAAGAAAATAACAGAGAACAAATTAGATCGTTTTCTTACGAAGATATACATAACTTGAAAACCCTAGGATAAATACATACTGAAAATTCATGTACGATACGGCGACCATGTGATACAAGAATAGTGACGATTAGCTATCCACAGTCATTAGAGAGTAGCTCGAACGCCAAAATTGTCCAAAATAGCTACCAATAGGATTGGCCGTTAGCAGCGCCATTCAAGGGCTTAAAGGCCAAAGGCACCGCCATTCTTAGTTTCTCTTCTTATCAAGTTTTCAGACCAAAAATCTAGATACCACGTCTAGGTATAAGAAACAAATCTCTATAAAAGAGGACGATCGATATAGGCGTTTTCGTCGAATTTATGTTGTTGAAAATGACTAAATACCAAGTACGATAATTCTCCACAAGAGTGGCGGTGGTGTTCATAAGTTTAGATTTAAGTACGTGTGATTTTATAAAAAACAAATGAAACAAATAGTTCTCTTTGATGTTTTTGTTTTAATCACGAAGCCTTAATTTAATTAAGGGTTAATTAAAGGATTAGGACTAATTTTCATAGAGCTCAACAGGTTATTTTATATTGATGATTTTGTGGTTTACTTTTTAAGGTGACTGACAATTACATTTTACATGCAGTATTATTCATTTTTATACTAATTGAGTTAAAGATAAATTGATTCTATTTCATAATTTTTTTTACAGATATATAGGATGATTTATGGACATTTTTTCATGCTATTGTTATTTTTTCTTGACTTTGTGATATCATAACCAATTATTCCATTTTCTTTAGTTTATAATTTCTTATTTCCTTCGTCGACTTATTTATCTATTTTTTTCCTAAGTTAAAGGTAGGTTTTTTCATATTTGAAAAATCAGACCAAGAGACTAGTGACAATAGAAATCATCCTTTCATTGTGAATATTGTACCTACACTTATAACACGGTGATCGTCCTCCTTGTACATAAGACTCCATGATTGAGAATATCGAAATGTTGTTATCGCGCCTCTCCACTCTTCAAACCTTTGTTAAGCACGTCATGCTGTGTCCATCAACAAAGACACTCGTCCTACTCTTTCACTGGACGCCTACGACGACACGTTTTAGACAACTAGTAGGCCAGTCAATAAGAGGCAAATAAGAACTTTTTCGATTTAAACGATTACAAATTGATACAATGGTAATTCGACGACGCTGAATCGAATGGTGCTTATTTTTTTGCACTCCGATGTGCCATTTATGAGAAAAAGGGTAAAAAAGGGTAAAAATGGCTGTATTTTAGAATCTAGGCGTTTAATCGAAAAAAGTTTCAAACAAAAGTTGTAGACAATTGAAAAATACATAAAAAATGTTGAGGTTTATCTTCATATTTGTAAAAAAAAAAGCGAGAAATATTGGTAAAACGTAATCGTAAGAGTGGGGGACAAGTCCCGCATCTTTTTCGGCTTTTACACGCGAGCGTGCTAGTGTGCGTGCGAGCGTCCGTGTGTACTAAACACAAATGAAGAATTTTCGGCAATCTTCAGGTCTCTCGGTCGTGATAGCGAGTGCGAGTAAGAAAAGAAACCGATATTCCTCTCTTTCTATTTTTTCATGCGGCAGCGAGTATTTTTCGTCTTGGCTATCAAGTGTCGAGCGTTATGTATAATATATCTATATATATCGGCGTATAAGCGCGACGTTTTTAAATCGAATCTTGATGCTTATAGCACGCCGTTTTTTTATTTATTGTCAAAAATAGTGAACCTTGAATAAAAGAAAAACAATATTTCATTTTAACAGAAACTATTACTATTTAGTCGAGAGTAAAAATAATGAATTATTTTGTATCTCGATATAAAATTAATTTGTATAATTAATTGATACAAATTTTTTGCCTCGCAAAAATTTGTTTGTATATCGAATTGAATACGTATTTGAAAAAGAAGAATTTTATGTATCTACACAAAATTAATTCAAGATATACAGGAAAGGATATTCTAAGAACGTGGAATTTATTTTTTGTCTAGACATAATTTTAATTCATTTTTATTATGTTATAAGAAAACAGTAATGCATTTTTATTTAGCTTCAAAGTCATAAAAATTGTAAGACGAATATTGAACATTTGTCAAGTGGCACGCTAGCGTAAGTAGTATCGTCTCTGCTTCTAACGCCGGTTATTAATGTTCGATTCTTCGTGGGGGAATTATTTTTTTTTTTAAGTTTTTCTATGCTTAAGTTACACAAATTCTTTTTACATTTCTTAATTTTTAATTATATACAAGAAAGAAAATTAAAATATTACAAAAAATTTGAAGCAATAATTTTTTTACCATTTTGCGCAAATAAAGGAAGATTTATTACTTGAATTACAGTTAACATTTTACTTTTTAATAGGTATATAAAACTACATTATTCTTCAATATAGTAACAAATAACAATGACATATATTCTAATCAATAATAATTTAATTTATATATTATATTAATATCATGCCTTCTCACCCAGATCAAGATTGCTTTCTTCGTTAGCAAAAGTTTTATTATAGCTACATTGATACTAGCACCCTGAAAAATGGACATAATGTTATCCATTATGGACATAAGTTATATAGAACAGGTAAGTGTAAAATTATAATTTTGAGATTTTTTACAATAATATTTTTTTTATTTGCTTATGATGTTAAAAAATTTATTGTTTTGAATGTTTTTACGATAACTATCACTCTGGAACCTGCGTTTAATAAATATTAATAAATGTACAATGTAAATGTTAAAACTTATAGATATAAAAAAATTATAAATGAAATGATGATGAGAGTGAATTTTTACAATGCGTGTGCACCCCGATCAAAACAAACTTCCAAAAGTGATCAACATCTACTAGTATTTACGATGCGCGGGCACAGCGATTTCAAATTTACGGCATGAAGTCATTCAATATATCTCTTTGACATTTAGTGTGGACTGATATCTATATTCTGATATTTTTTCAATATTAAATAATGAGCATGGCCTGACGAAGATTTCCTTGAGAATTTGTGTGGCACTCAAAGTGTTGACAATCTATGTACGATCCGTAAAAATTGTAGATTCTTAGCGTATATTCGAAATACGCACCTCAATAATTTTGAGAATATCGAAGTGAATTGAATATTGAGAATAACGAATTGTTGATAGCGCGCCTCCCTACTCTTCAAACCGTTGGCTAAGCATGCCCTGCTGGCCATTAACAAAGATACTCGTCCTATTCTTCCACTGGTTTATTATAATTATTACATATGGTGGTGATTAATATTAAAAAACTGTGAATATCTTCAAAAACATTGATTATTTGAAAATATTAGTAATAAAAGTCTTTTTTGAGGTTAATTGATATTACTTATTAGTTTTAATTCGTTTTATTTCTTCTCTATAGTGATCATCAATTTAGGTTAAAAATAAATAAASTGGATAACATGCTGTGCGATTTTTTTTATGGCTTAACCATACGATGACAATTTTCTGATTTTAATCTAAGTATACCGATGAATTACAAAACGTTCTCTTTTTCCTGATATTATAACAGACAATAGTAAGTAGAATAGCAATATTCTGTTCAGTTAAAATACTCTACTGAGTAAAATATATGTATTATATTGTTTTTAATTCAACTTATGATGCTCTGCTTCTCTTTTTATATTTTTTATATTTCGTACATAAACTACTTTTTTAACACGTTGACTGCCACGTCACCCGTATTCGGGTGACAGTAAAGTTTCTGATCCGGCCGCGTCACTCGTATTGGGGTGACGCTTATTTGACTACTTGCGCAGAACGTTCGTACGTTTTTGAAAAGATATTTCGCAGAGTAAGTAACAAAACTATTGAGTATTATTTAATATAAACTATATTTATTAATATAAATTTAAATTTATAATAAAATATTCATTAGTATGAACTATATTGTTATAAAAATTATGTAGAATGCCAAACTTTAAAACATCCTATACATAGCTAGGGTTGGTTGGGACAACTTGGACAATAAGTTGTTGTTTTCTTTAAATTATCTCGTGTCTTTGATCTGCCCATTCGACGACTTTTATCTGCATAACATTGTTTGCATGCGCGTCTAATGATTTCTCCGGAATCAGTTTTTCGAACGGCAATATGATGCTGCCTCCAACGAAGACAAGGATTTGTTGTATTTTCAGTCAACCCAAATAATTTTTAAGCTAATATTTCCCTAAATTTTCTAATATTTATATCCTTCTTCTTTGCAATTGTTTGTAAACCGCCAAAGCGTTTACAACAGAAATTCCTAGAAGTAGTTGAATGCCAAGCTTTCGGTACCACTTGATTCCTTTTCTAATCGTGGTGGCATAGGAAACCATTTGGTCGGAATAATCTATGCCACAGTCAAACTAATCCTATACAGTGGCGAAATAAGAAACAAATACGAAGTAATGAAAATAAATGACCGAGCATCATACCACGGAAACAAACGGGGCGGGAGGTTATTCTTGCGACAATTATCGATTGCAATTCGCATTTTTAAAATATTGGTGGGAATACCCAGCACAATACGCTACTTGGCAGTCAACGTGTTAAATACTTTTATCTAAGTATGCGGTTCTACATTTTTATTCCAATCAAAGACTGTAAAACACCCAAGAAAAAGATTCCATTCCAGCATCAGATCTATGCATATAAATTTCATTTTCCAATGGTTAACGATATAAAAATTTCTTTTTACTAACTATCTGTTTCGTAGAGATTTCATGTGAATTATTATGAGAATAGAATTCAACCACAATTACAAGGAATAAGCAAGACATGAATCTGTGTTTAAAGGTAAAAATAATAATCTTGCTTCTGTAAGAAACAAACATTATATATAATTCTCTTGAAAAATATTTATTCAAAGCATTAGAAAACTTATTCTCTCCACATAGATGATCAATCATTTACTGGAAGAGAGAGCGCATTATTTTCAACAATGATATGAAGAAGCCAACGATACTGAAATCATGAAAGATTTTGGAAGACACTGTCTTCTTTTTATTCACACTGGAAAGAAACCATGTGCATTAATTTTCTATCAAAAGAATTGAAAAATGAATGCATCTTAGGTATTTATAAATTATTTTCTGCAATAATTCTTATTAAACTATAATCTCTTGCAACTTTTTGACCAGTATCAGTATACATTTAAATTTTTGTTTCAGTTTTTGAAATTTCTGAAACTAATGCAGAAAAGTGTAATGCCTATTACGATCGTTATAAAAATGTATCTAAAAGAAAGTATCGTATCTAAAAGAAAGTATCCATCACAAACAAACGCGGAACGTTGTAAGTATAACTTCTTACGTGCGTACATAAGTATACACACCAGTTTTTTTTTAATTGATCATTGATTGTTTATTTTGTTGTTTTATTCGGTTTAAAAATTTTCGTTTGAATTAAAGTCTGGAGATTGTGAAGGATAGAGGTAAAACTTTTGAACAATTATGTAATAAATATTCTTATAGCTTTATGCTTTGGATCGTTGTTCTGGTAAAATTTGAAAGAATTTTATATACTCATCTTAGTTAGACTTTTGTGTAAATTTTTCTCCAGAAGATCTAAATATTTGTTCTTATCTGAGATCTCATTAATGAACATCAACTTACCAAATCCAGCATTCAAAATCTTCATACAACCGCAGAACCACCCCCGTGCTTAACAATAGATTTTAAATTAGTTGATTTCAAACTTTTATTTAGTTTTTGTCATTCTTTATTTGTTCCGTCTGAAGCAAAAGTATAATATTTACTTTCACCAGCAAAAATAACATCTTTTCATTAATCTTGCGCTTTCTGAACAGACTTTTTAGAATCAGCAGCCAACTTCGTTTTCCTATTTAGTTTATTAGTGTACGGTTTTTTTTTTCTATTCGACTGTTATACCTATTGTTTCTCTTTATTCTACGCACTGTTTCAGCACTAATCATCTTCCCACTTTCATTATAAACTTCAGAAGCTAATTTTAATGCACTATAACGCGGATTTTTTTCAATTTTTCCTAGTATTTTTCTTTCTTCAGTTTCATTCAAAACTCGAGGTTGACCTTTTTGTTTTATAAAATCAATGCGGTCGTCTACTAGATATCTTTTAATTATATCAGCAACTGTACTCTTCTTCATTCGTAATAATTCTGCAATTTCACGATAAGTTTTGCCTTTTTTTCTATGATAAATTACAAGTTGTCTTTTATTAAAACTCGTATTCTTTCTCTTTCGTGACATTTTAAACTACAGGAACACACTTTAAAACGTAATTTTACATTAACAATTAGTACATACAGTTTTTCACACATTTCTTTATTTACGTGCCTTCACGTGCGTTACTTGTAAATGTTCACTAGTAGCAAGCATCTCTTATATACCTTCTCCCTAGCGGTCAAAAACGTGGCTACTTTTTAAAACTATGCAAGTTGGCGGGAAATTTGATATTTTTTTATTTAAATCTCCGTCTTTCTCAATAAAAATTACAACAAAGTTATAATACAATTGTACTCAATTGTAGAGCATAATTTTATTTTATTTTAATTGAAATGTTGAAATTCTTACACTTTAAACGTTTTATTAACCTTTATATTTAGGACATGGAAAACACTACTTTTTCGTACGTTATGTTCCATGTTTTACAAATTTCAAATGAATATCTTAAATTAAAAACTTCAGTTACATACAATATCAAATTATATTAAAATCATTTTTAATAATAATATGTGCGTTTGCGTTTAACAAGTAAATTTAAATCGTCGTGAAATATTATTATTTAAACATATCTTATAGATTATCGGGCACGTCTAAAAAAAATAAGGTTATTTCACTTAGATTCGCTTTAAAAATATGATGTTTGAACAAAATTATAAAGTTAATATAGAGGAATCTAAAAATTCGAAAACGGTAGAAGATCATGACGAATATCAGTATTTGAATTTGATCAAGAAAATAATTAAAACTGGAGTTAAAAAAAATGATAGAACTGGAGTTGGAACTTATTCGATTTTTGGAACACAGATGCGTTTCAATTTAGCAAATGGTATTGTTTCTTCCACAATGACAATTATAAAAACTAAAGTATTTAATAAGATCAAAATTAGAATAAAAGAAACAATTAGAATTTAAAAAAAATATAAAATAAGATTAAAAAAGATAAAAACAAAAGATCCAAAAAACTCTTACGAATTTATCTACAAAAGAACGATAAGTATTAATATGAATATTATTAGAATAAACATCATCAAACTTTAATATTTTAATTAAAATTTATTCTCTTTATGTTATTACTTATATTGCTATAACTCATTGGTCTCATATGCATTTCTTTGAATTTCTATTTATGAGGATAAATAAGTTGAAGAAAAAAAATAGAAACTGTATAATAATTTTTCCTATTATCTTCACAGGAATATTTCCTTTGTTGACTACAAAACGAGTCTTTTGGCGTGGAGTCATAGAAGAATTGTTATGGTTTATTAAAGGATCGACTAATGTAAAAGAATTACAAGATAAAGGAGTACATATTTGGGATTCCAATGGTTCTCGTGCTTTTCTTGATTCTTGTGGTTTTACTGACAGAGAAGAAGGTGATCTCGGCCCAGTATATGGATTTCAATGGAGACATTACGGCGTGGAATACAAAAATATGCATTCAAATTACAAAGAACAAGGTATGTTTTTGTTAGATTAGTTTTAAATGTTTATAAATATGTATACAGGGTAGTAGTAAAAGGGTCTCATATTTTAAAGGCTTATAATATTTATCAAGAGGAGTAAAAAATATCTAATTAACACGGAGTCTAAAATCAATCCTTTCAATGTAAATTAATTTTTACTATTGTTGAGTGTTTGATATCAAAAGCGAGTCTAAAATTATACATTTTTTACTCCTCTTAATAAATAGTATAATCTCTTAAAATATCGGATTCATTTTTTACCATCCTGTATATGTAACTTATGTATACCATGATTAACTTAATACTTTAAATATGTTAAAATAATTAATATGGAAATGAAGGTATTGACCAGTTGAAGGAAGTCATTCATAAAATAAAACACTCACCGGATGATAGAAGAATAATAATGACTGCATGGAATCCAGTTGATATTCCAAAAATGGCTTTACCACCTTGTCACTGTTTGGTACAATTTTATGTAAGCAACGGAACGTTGTCATGTCAACTTTATCAAAGAAGTGCCGATATGGGTCTTGGTGTTCCATTTAATATAGCGTCATATTCTCTATTAACTTACATGGTGGCTCATATTACAGATTTGAAGGTATATTTCATCTCATTATATTTGCAAAATATATATTTACAACAACAATAAAATTAATTCTCTTTCGTTTATCACAGCCAGGTGAATTTATACACACGATGGGTGATTGTCATATATACATTAATCATATATCGGCACTTGAAGAACAAATAAAACGCGCACCGAGGCCTTTTCCCACATTGAAAATAATTGGTGACGTTAAAGATATAGATGACTATACATTTAATAATTTTGAACTAATAAATTATAAGCCACATCCAAAAATTGATATGAAAATGGCAGTTTAATTCAATGTTTATATATGTGTGTATATGGGTATCTCTGCTGTAATTTTTAAAATTGAAATTTTACAAAATTAAATCATTTAAAACAAAATTTGTAAATATTTGTAAATTTTACTTACAAGAGCTAAGTACCCATTGTTTTTCATATTTTTTTGAAACTTTATACATTTATAGGGGTCCATTAGGACTATACATTGCATATTAGAAGCGAAGAAAAATACTCAATCCTTTCCAAGATATTGAATGAAGAAATTTTACTAACATTAAAATTCCTCAATTCCATAAAAGAGAGAGTAATAACTATATAACTATACATTATTGAAAGTGATCGATGATCAAATCTAGGGCAAGAGAAAGTTAAATAAAAAAGCTTCTGTATCTATAGTCCAAAAAGTATATAAATACCTGTCACTGACATTTTGTGAAAGCTATATGTTAACTTGACTAGATCATTACATCTTTATCTGTATTCAGCAAAGAATTAAACAGTGCTAATATTTCATATGGTAAGTTTATATTATCATAAACATATGACATAAAAAATGTATCTGCAAATATAAATTTCTATAAAAATTAATTCCACACACACACACTTAATTTATACATATGTAATATATAAATTGTCTTTTCAGAATTACAAGAAGTACATCTTTATATATCTTCTTTTACATTCAATATGTATTATCACTTGTAATAAATGTAAGTTTAATATATTTATATTTTGTTTTAACGCATTTATTTTTAGGAATTGAAACTATTATATAAAACAAAAGTTAATTGTTTCATGTTTATGTTCAAAAATAACTTTATTTACAACCGTTCTCCTATTAAAATTACATATTTTTTATAGCTATAGATAATATTAATAAAGAATAAAATATAAAAGGTTTAAATATGAGTAAAAAAAAAATAATTTATAGTAATGGGGTATGTGTGTGTATAGTGTATCCGCGTGTGCGCGTATGTGTAAGAATAACTTCAATAATAAAATATTATAGCATATACATATACATGATATATATATTTTTTCTGTTTAGCAATATCAACTTATTTTCTATCAAAGTTAGAACAGATGAATAAATTGAGAAAACCTGTTTATACATTTGTCAAAACTGACAAGGAAGCAAACATTAAATGGGGTGTACGACATTATATTCCCAGAGCAACAGATATAAAAAAATAACTGAACAACATTCTGCTACAGTTACAATGTAGAATAAAAGTGCAACACACACAATATGCATTTTTTATTTTAAAAATGTTGATAAATTATTTGATGTATTTATCCTTTATTGTTGTTGTTCTACCGAAATTGGAATTTGAGAATATGTTATTCTTTCTTCTTAAAACGAACTATTACTTATAGAATTTATTTAATTATGGATGTGTGAATTAGAAATAATTATCTTGAAACATCTTGTATATTCTGAAGAAAAACATATGATGAATAAATTTAGATTGTGTTGAATTTATCTACTTGCAGACAATGTTTTAAATATGGATGCGTAATATCCACGTGACCAACATAATCCCTTCTCTAAACGATGTACACGTGCTCATGCTCACGTACTACTCGTAAAGATGGGCACTCGTAGGTAGAAATGACGTATAAAACTTTACGATAGGTGGAAGGGAATCTGAGAAAAGTAGAAATATTGGGCTGGAACGTTACGGTCGTGTATTACAAATAAATGGTCAATGACCGATGTCAAATACCTACATATACATATCTATAAACCTAATCTTCGTTTTATATAATTACATTAAATATACATTAATACGTGTATATATGCAACATACGTGCAAGATAATAAATATATTATGCATTCCTTTTGAATATTTGTGTATTAGCAATTACGCGTAAATTCTAAAAACTGAATAAATTTCGTCTTTTTTTAGGTAAATTAAAGTAGTTTTTCTCAACCGATTGTTCGCAGAAAAATATTAGTAATCCGCAAAAAATATAACTCAATATTAAGTTAAAATGAAAACTATTTACAAAATGTATAATGTTTATATTTAATGAGTCACTTTATTGGATGTTTCACGTATTCTGAAATTTTTTGCGTGTAGTTACGATTAGTGGACTTACACTATTAGCTCCTATTTGTTGCATCATTTCAGTTAAAGAACAGATGGTTGGCTACTATGAATCATCGTTGATGCACCACGGTTGAGCACCACGAGACATCGTCTATGGACATAATCTCCGAGAATTCTGTTGATATCAGAAATATACTGAAAAAATGTATAAAGCAATCTCAACAACTTCAATACCACAGGGATTACATCAAATAAAAATGTAAAATTCTATGATTTCTTTTGTTATCATACTTATCGTTTACAGTCCCTTTTTAATTTATTTACATAATATCATTTTTCGCTAATAAATTAACGTTATCTTATATTTAAAAAAATATTAGATAACTTATCAGAGAAGTAGATTCAAAAAAAATTTGTTTACAAATTTTTCATGTTCATTAATAGATTAAAGTATTGAAATAATTATAGGCTGTTTTTGATTGAATTTTAGTATTATTTCAAATTTTGATTTAGTATTTTAAAAAAATGGTTGACATTTTTTATTAATATATTATTATGCAATAAGAGACAAGCTGTAACCCTTTGCAAGTCTAAGAACAATCTGATGCAATTCTGAAATTGAATTTGATGCCATCCTGACGCAATTCTAAAAATGAATAAAATGCAATTTGATACTTATACTTATTGTAAATGATAACTAAATGATATTATGTTAAAATACTATAATATAACACCATATAATATAAAAAAAACATTGTAATATAATATAAATATAATAAATTGACCAAATATTAAATAGAAGTATTAATTATTTCAAATACTGGAAGCAATAAATAATTATATAAAAAAAAATTTAATAGCAAACAAATAGCAATGGTATTTAAAATAATCATCGTCTCTCTCAAACTATTACTTTTTATTTTAACTGTAAGAATGATTCAAAAAGAGCGAAAGAATTTGAAAATGAATTAGGGGCTATGTGCTGTTGGAGTTTCTAAAAGAACAGAAAGTTGCATCAGGCTTATACCTGATGTGTGTCCATTGTCAATGGTCTACGCTTCTGAGAAATTTCTTTACTGTTACGTGCTTTCAAGCATACGCGCCACTCGTCATACTACGGGAGTCAAAATATTTTAAAATATATTATTAAAAAAATATACGAAGATGATGAATTTGCATAAAAATCATTAAAAAATTGCAATTATGTTTAAAATTGAGTAATAAACATATTCGATTTCCGAAGATCAATATTGCTATGGCGTTAATCTTACGCACACAATTATATCCCGACTGGTAGAGGTATAAAAAGTGGGAGACAAGGTCACCTTAAGAAACGCAACTGAAGAGAGTTCTGTCAGTTTAGTCAGTAGTAAACCGGTGTGCCGGCTGCTAGTATCATTTTTAACGTTCACTTCTCCTACCTGTTCAAATCAACAATTTTTCAAAATTTATCTTCAGTGAGACTATACGAGCGAAATATATTTGTGTGGAAGGTCAGTAAAAGAATTTTTTTCTTTTAACTATTGAACTTATAAAATAATATTCCTTTCATTTTTAACAATTAAATAATATAAACAATTAAAAATAAGTAATAAGATGGACGTGTAATAAATTATGCGTGATATAACAGTGAAATTTGTATTTTTTATTTCTTCTACAATTTTATTGATTTCTTTTTGTAAAAAAGGAGTGTAATCTCTCGAGGAATAAATGCTGAATTGAATTATCTTTCTTGGATTTTCGTTACTTTTACTTTTACTTTTCTTTTTATAACACAATGAAATGTCATAAATTTCAAAATGTGGATATTTAGTTGATTTCTTTCTTATTGCAATATTCGCTACATGAATTTTTTATTAGGGTTCTATCAATAAATAATAAATTTATTATATTAGAAATATATTTATTTGTAATATTACATTTAAGTAGCGGGGTGTTAGAATTACAGAGTGTCCTAAAAGTCGCTTTCCTAAACCCAAAAATTAGAAATTTATTATCTACTAAAGTTTTTGTGCATACGATGTTTTGCAGAATTACGTCAGGGTTATGTCAGAAACCTTTTTTTTAAAATACTTTTAAAACACCGTGTATATTAAATATCAGCTTTAATATACTGATTAAGCTTGCATCTCTAATGCATTTTTAACGCTTATCATGATGCCGCTTTACGACTTCGTTCTATTACAATGTCAGTTTTTCTTCCACGAAAATGTGGCTTATGTGGGTGGGTAAATGGAATTGTTTTAGTTTGAGTTCCTTCCCTTTTGGACGATTCGATCTAAAATAAGATACGCCACGCTCTCCAGCTGTGATTCTTATATTGATTACTGAAAATGACTATTGACATTAGTCGAAAGAAAATTATAATTAAAATTTTTATATATAATTCTTTAAAATATGTTCAATCTATACACGTAAAAAAAAAGTGGATATTTTCACAAATTTTTGACAAGAATGACATTNTTAATGTTAGCCAAATAAAATATTCTATACAAATTATTCGTATTTACATTAAAAAAAAAATATATTCGCGCAGATCATATTTTTCGATAGTAATAATAAATTAAAAAAAGAAAAATAAGGGTAATAAAGAATCATACTTTTTTCAGATTTATACGATTAGATTTATTTGCTACTTGATAGATTTATACTAACAATTTTTCATAAATTTGAAATTGATGTTAATTTTAAGATTTAATCTTTATTGATTTAAAATAAAATTTTACTTAAATTAATAAATCTGAGAATTTAAATAAATTTTCAATTTATGATTAAATAGAATGATTTTTTAATTAATTTTTATGCAAAATATATTTTTCGAATATAAAGTTTGACGATTTTTAATTTTTCTACTGATAAATAAACTTCATTTCAACATTTATTTTATTTTATTGTTCTTGTGATTAAAATCCAAGGCGAATTTGATAAAATTTGATTTTTAATTATGTCGGATTAAATAGGTTTTAAAAGAAACCTTACTTTTAATTCTTGAAAATTTTATTGTATTTAAAAATTGATTTTAAGCATTTCTCATTATTTAGTTTTTATTATAAATCAATTTACCTTATATTTAAAAAATATATTTTATAGAAAAAATATTAAACAAAAAATCATATTTTTGGTAAATTTATAGAATATCTAATAACAAAATTAAGCTGGTGCCAATACTTTTTTTATTCAACACTGCATGTATGCTTTATACAATACGTGATTTTTTAAAAAACATCTTCCACTTTACATTCGATTGTGACCCTTACAAAATATTAATTTTTATTTTTACAAAAGCTTCTTCGAATATTTTCTTCTCAAATATTTGCTAATTTTCCAACCAATCACGTTCACATCTTCTTCGTTTCTAAAATACGGAAGCATAATAAAATTTGTTAAAAATAGCCAATTGCTTCGACCATCGGTATCATCTCGAGTAGACAGGAAACATAAACGTGTAAACGTGAAGATATTTGACCTCTTTGACCTTCCGAGTGCGATGACCTTGAGGAAATTTTTATACTTCCAAAATGTGTTTGCTCGTACTTTTACACGTCGTAAAAACATTTGAACTTGTTGGTAACTACATACTTTCCTTTGTTACATATATCGAGATGGGATGACAATCGATAATATAACTCCCATAGAAATAATCTAAAAATTTAATCAACTGTATTTGAACCCAATAATCTGTTTTGAAAATTTAGTGCGATTATCAATGCTATTATTAATAATTTGTTTTTGGGAATATCCCGAAATCATGACATAAATAAATGATAACTTTTGATTATTAAAAAATATTGAAAATTCGGTAAAAAAATGAAATATTAATTATTATTAGGGTATATACTAAAGTATATCTTTGCTGACGTTTTATTTATCTTTTTCAGGGAAATGTCGTCGTTGAACGAAAAATTGTTGACCAATGTCGTAGAGCCCACCTCCAATGGAAAAAATAAAGTTACTGTTGTTGGCGTTGGTCAAGTTGGAATGGCATGTGCCTTCAGTATTTTGACGAACGTAAGTAAATTATTTATTTATTTAATATAAAAAAAAAGTTAATAACAAATTGAGAATGTAATTTAAAACCATCATATTAGTCTAATTTTTAAGTTAATGTTTTATTCTTATAAATAAAAAAAAAATACGTATATTTAATCAATCTAAATTATTTTATTTACTTACTTATTTTCATTTACAGAACGTGTCAAATGATCTCGTACTCGTCGATGTGATGGCGGACAAATTGAAAGGAGAAATGATGGATCTCCAACATGGTAGTGCATTTTTGAAGAATGCAAGGATCAATGCCAGTACTGATTATGCAGCCACAGCAAATTCGACTTTGTGCATCGTGACTGCTGGTGCTCGTCAACGAGAAGGTGAAAGCAGACTCGATCTCGTTCAGAGAAACATTGAGATCTTCAAAGGAAT